AAAACAATTACTTCATGCTTTTACTGTGAAGCACAGAGGAGCTGAAGGCACGGTGAGGATACCGGTATCTTTGCTTCAGATTTTCCAGAAACAAAATGGATTTGTAGACCTTCTTGTCTCCAAAAGCAAACTCCCAGCCCAAATGCAGCACAGCCAAATATAACATCCATCTAAAAAAGGCTTTAACATTACCTTTAGTTAGGAAAGTCTTGTCTTCATCAAGATCAGTCACAAGTGAAACAGCTTCTCACAGTGGAGGCACAGGTATCCTCTGTCTAGGGCAGCCTGTCAAGCAACAAAACATTAAGAGACCTTGCAGCACTAACACCAGCTTCACTAAGATTTTGTGTTATTGAAATAGCAAATTTATCCTGCTGTCATTTCACAAGAACAGCCCACTCCACCCTTCCATTCCTCCTACTAAATTTTTAATGTTTAGTCCATTTACTGATCTTCTGAGGTAAATTTTCAAAAACATATTCATGGAGCAAAAGGAAGCAGCTTCACCCCCAGCTTTCCACACAAATTGTCTCTCAAATTTACCCTAAGGTGCAGCAGGCTGCATCAGACAGGAGCGAAAGACAAACAGCGTGATCACCACGGGCCATCTGCTGAACTATGCCGTCATCACACGCAGCCTTCACACAGATCAGGGATAGAAATTAGCTTTTACAGATGCAAGCAATACATTACTGACCTTGCACAGCTTGTAGCTGCATCTCCCAGTGCCTGCAACAAAGGAAGGAAAAAAAGAATCAGATTCCCTCAGCCTTGATGGTCGAGTCTCCAGCTCCCAGCAAGGGATCACAAGAGCTAGATACATCAGATAGGAGCGAAAGACAAAGTGTTCATCACAGGGGATTCTGCTGAACTATGCCATCATCACTGTATCTGCTTTGGAGCAACAGCCTCTTCTGATAACTTCTCCAAATAAAACATACAAGGAAATATTCAAGAGTTTTTGAATACTAGCAACTATCAATAGTTTCTGCACATTACTAGAAATTAATCCCAAAGCACTTCCCTCCCATTTTACACATCCCACCCTTCCCACCGCATCGTTTCAGCAGCTCCATGGAAGAAACCCCTACACAGAGTGCACATTTCTCACCAGGTGCTGGTTCTTCTCCAAGTCCTCCAAGTGCACAACTTGAACCCTGGAATAGAAAAGCTTATGAACAGTGTATTCAGAAATCAAAACATCGAGGGGAATTATAAATTGTTGTGCCTCAGAGGAAAAGTTATGGTGGTAGAAAATGCTCATCATTCTCTTGGTCAAGAGTAGCAAATAAATGTCATCATTGTGGCACCAGAGGGAAAACTTTGCTCAGGGAATAAAGTCTGCCTGCTGAGGTTAGCAAAACAAAAGATGCTGTCTGGGCAAGCACCAAGCACTGTTTTACATTGAATTTTCAAGGGGTTTTTTTACCTTGTCAAGTAGCATCAAGTCACCATCTTCAATGGCAGATCTGAAAGAGATACAACACTTTCAGGCATGTGAAGAACATGGGGAAGTACCTCTGGCTGTGACACTACACACAGAAAAAAGCCTCAGCACAAGAGTTTTCAGAAACCACTTCTGTCCACTACTCTTATACTGCAACCATCATAGGCTCTCTGCTTTAGTTCACATCAATCCTGATAGCTACAGGTTCTTTTTGAAACATGCACCCACCAGGCACACACCCAGACAGCGAGCTATTTATTGTTGTGGATGATGAAACAGTGGTAATTAAAGAGAAATTGGCCATATTTGGGATGCTACTGCAGTCTGGCTGGAGGCTGGACTAGTGGTTCAGAAACAGGAGCCCCACATCCACTCTCCAGTACAGAGACAGAAGAGACTTTTCCAAGTCCAAGAGGAAGGACCACCAGGAGAGACACTACAGGTGATAACTGGTTTACAAACATTGGTCCTGTCATTTCCTGAGACACAAGAGTACTCCAGCTAGCTGCTGTAAGGGTACCTACCTGTTCTGAAGCCAGGAGAGAGGGAAGAGTGTCACTGATGCATCCCAAACTGAAAACAAGAGATTATCCATTAGTTTTTCTTCGAAGAAAGAAGATGTTCACACATTCAGTTTTGAAAAATGCAAGTAAAAATCAAAACAATGTCCTGAGCCTTACAGCAAAGCTCTTTCCGGTGAGGGTGGTCAGACACTGGCCCAGGTTGGCCAGAGAAGCTGTGGCTGCTCCTCCCTGGAAGTGTTCCAGGCCAGGTTGGATGAGGCTTTGAGCAACCTGGTCTAGTGGAAGGTGTCCCTGCTGATGGCAGGGGGGTTGGAACTGGATGAGCTTTAAGGTCCCTTCCAACCCAAACCAGGCTGTGAGTCTGTGAATCTACATATCAACTCTGGAGAGACCAGGCCACAAAAATAACTGTTAGCCCAGATTTTTAAGCCACATAGAACAACTACACTTAATTTTCTACAGCTTCAAACCTAGTGTAAGGACTGGCCAGCAGGACTGAACCAGCAGGACTGACCTGCTGCCATCATCTTCATTTGGCTGCTCAGGAAGGACCACGTGGCCTTTCAGCCATGCCAGAGACACACAGCATTCCATGCCCAGCTCAGATATGTTGGTATTCATCACCCTCTCAGATGTCCCTACCAACATAGTTTTCATCATGTGCAGGCACACGGAACTCCAAGTGAGCTACCACACTCCTTTGTGAAGATGGGGCCTTTAATTGCCACACTGAGAAAGTCATTGCCCTGAGCACACGACACAGGCAAGGCTGGCTCATTAACCAAGAAACTGGTCTGCTGCAGCGGTCAAACTCCACCTTCCCCAGCAGAAACGGGCTCTCCTCAGCCTGCCATGTGCTGCCCAGTATTAACTTACAGAGAAGCGGGCCAGCTTTAACACAACACTGATACATTTTATACACACAACACTTTAGTTACCGCTCAAAACTACCTCCTGAAAAGCCCAGTGTACAGTTAAACTAAAGCTAATCTCTGTG